CGTAAGTCAAACGATTATTAACGTTAACTTTTGTGCAAATGTTTTCCTGCATATATGCTCATGCCGTTATTGTTGATAGCGCTAGGGCCACTCCTTTCGACTTTTCAGTGTCACATGCGCATTAGAATCGCCTATTAGAATGAGGAACTCCATAGTCGGCATTTCGTACAAAGCACACCCCACTTCCTCAAAGAAGGACTCGTTCTTTCTTCAAACTGAGCGCATTGACATGTAACAATGTCACAGCTTTAGCGTGTTGTAGCCTCAGTCGGAGGATTGCCACTTCTTGGCTGACACGCTTCCATTCAGTAATTCTGTCAGCCAGGTTTGGTTGTACCAGAACGCCAACACCTGACCGCGTATTGTGACGTTGGCACCGTGTAGAATGGCTTTCATGCTAAGACGTTCGGAATTAAAGAGCCTTGGCCCTTCGTTGAAGAGAGTTCATGTAATGTCGGTACTTTATCGACTAGCTCCTCCTCCTTCCTTCTCTGTGTGATGTTCTAATTACCGATTGTAAGCTCCCCCAGTCTGTATTGTTCCCGTGGAGCCTTAGCCGAGGTGCAGTGTTGGCACTGCTCTGTCAGCCTCTCCCGTTCAGAATGGGTAGCGGCTTCATTGGTTGTTGTCATCCTCGCCTGTCTTCATGTCAGTCTTAGGCAGCTGTTGCCGTGCTGTTATGGTCACAGTTGCCAGAAGGTTAAAAGCAGGCTCTCATCGCCAACAGGCTGCGTGGCCCTTATTGATCGAGCAGGTATAACGTTCGATAAATGTAGTAACATAACGGACATGTGCATACGTTCTATTTGAGATCTCGCCACGATCTTCAGCCGTCTTTTTTCTCATCCGAACTTGGCACCGTCAACGGCGGAGTTGTGTATAGGATACTTAGAAAATGATCTAAACTGTTGGAAAGTAAAAGCTAAGAAATTCACGCTTTAAATCTTTCGTAGTTAAAAAATTTCTAGTGTATATTTCTTTAGTATGCCATGAAGAATTCCGTTTCAGGGAGATTTCGAAGTGTTTGATGAGAATTAGTTTGGGGGGGGGTGTGGAAAAGACCAAGAGAATGGTTCGCATTTCATATAAGAGGAATCCACTTAGCGTGTCACATCACACATTTTTAACATAGGCCTGCTTCATCATTCATATAAGTTGTAATGCTCTTAACTCTGAAACTGCGTTACTGATTGGGATTGTTGTTAACAACAACAATTAAGCTTGCAAATGAAGACGTCTGGTATGTAAAAGATATCGTTTGTGCCGATAATGTTAGTTGGGTCGTTGTTGATTCTCGCTTTTTTAGCACTCGGGCACCAAGAAGCAGTTGACGTTATCTCGAAAGTTCCCTTTTATGAAAAGCAAAGAACGTTTACAGGAAGAAGCTGAAGCAGAACGTAAGCGTGTGCACTGATGTGAACTTAAACTGCTTCTCTCGTTTCACTCGACAGACTTTCCTGCAACAGCGTCTCTCGGTTGTTTGCGTAGCGTGGCTGTACCTTTTGCCTCTCATTACTTCCATTGCCTTTAACTTGCCCTAGTGCAGAACCCTCATGATTTCCTGGGCCAGTTTTTATGAATTTCCGTTACTTGTGCTATTTTTCCTGTTGAAGAGTGGTTCTCTTTTCAGCGATTGTCATACCTTTTGAGTGAATGATCATATCCGTAGCCTTGATGATCTCTAATTATGAGTCAAACAGTTTCGTTCATGAGATAAGACACTCGAAGTCTTTGATTACGGCCACCTGACGCCTTTTCTTTTTGGCGTACTTCCATATTATCTTACGATGCACATCATATAAATATGTGCCAAGAGCGTGACGGGTTTGCGCCACGTGCTGCACTTCACCTTATGACGAGGCTATCGGATAAAGATTATCCGTTCGTTTAGATGCGGAAGAAGTCATTCTATCTTACGAAGCGGTCAGACAACAAAATCGTAAGTGAATCTTTTTATCTTGTAACCTACTTTGTGGCTAAAGTGAATCCTACGTTTCATGTTTGTTCTTATTTTATCTACACAGTATTGCGCATTTCCCGCCTGTAAATATTTCTGACAAATTGGTTGTGATTTTATTCATTTTTTAGTCAGAGGACTTTCGCA